TTTCCTCGAAATGGGTTCCATCATGGAGTCATTGTCAAGTCATAGTCAACTTTCAGCTGTCCTTACAAGTCTGAGCTAAGGATTTTACTTTGGTCAAAAATATCTCACCCAGCACCGCCTCACACCCACTAGGACAGCTACTGTAAAAAGACCAAAAAATAGTAAGAGTTGGCAGGGGTGTGGAAAAACTGGAGCCCTTGTGCTCTGTCAGTGGGAATGTAAAATGGTGCAGCTGTCGTGGGAAACAATATGGTGGTTCCTCAAAAAATTAGAAGCAGGACTACCATCATTACCCACTTTCTGGGTATGTACCCACAGTAACTGAAAACAGAGTCTCGAGGAGGTGCTACCTGTCCATCACGTTCACAAGCAGCTTTATTCACAACATCAGTTGGAGGCAACCCGCATGTCTACAGATGGATGAATGGCTAAGCAAAATGTGGTCTGTCCATTCAGCAGACTATTATTCAGCCCTAAAAAGGAAGTTCTGCCACTTGCTACATCATGGGTGAACCCTGAGGACATAATGCTAAGTGAAATAAGCTTGTCACAGAAGGAAATACTGGCTGTGTAATTCTACTTACACAAGGAACCTAGAGAGATCAAATTCACCCAGACGAAAAGTGGAATGGTTGTACCAGGGATTTGAGGGAGAGGTTAAATGAGGAGACGGGGTTTAGTTTTGCAAGATGTAGAGAGTTCTGGAGATGGACGGCAGTGATGCTTGCACAATAACGTGAATGTACTTAAAGCCACTGACCTGTACATTTGAAAATGGTTAAGGTGGTAAATTTTATGTGACATGCATTTTACTACAATTTAAAAAAAATTTTTAAGACTATCAAACTGAAAAATAGATACCAACCTCAGCACAATCAAACATATTGGGGCGCTTTTGACGAGTAACCAGACTTCTCAGTCACACTCATCTCCTTTCCCAGCCTCCTGCCTCCTGACATATTTGGAAGAGGTATTGGTGAAGAGTGCGATGGGTGAGAAGTGGGTGGAACACTCAAGAAAAAAAAAAACATGTCTGGAACCCGATACAGATGCCAAGGCTGTACAGGCCAAGTGTATGTAAGAGGGACATGCTCTCTTATGTGAGAGAGAGCACTCCCAAAGGAGCAGTTTGGTGCTCACGTTGAACAAGCGATAAATAGCAGGGCTCTGGTATGTGAGGGCACCAAAAGGGGTAACAGGGGTGCCCAAAGGAGTAGACAGCATCTTCAAGGGTCTCACCATCTTCTATTTGGGAAGGCAGGATATTTACAAGTGGGAAAAATCATACTTTCAGAAATTGGTATTAAGTGCCAAGGGGAAGGAAGCACTGTACATCCAGGATGGGTACAGGAATTGAGGGGAAGGAGAGAGAGGTTCAAGCTGCGCTGGGTTAGTAAGGAAAGGTTTTGCACAGGTAGAATTTGAGCTGGTTTGAACCACGGAACTGTGCTACTAGAATTGGTTTTAGGAAAAGTTACCATGTCTGGTTGATGCAGTCTTAAGCTTCTCAAACTCATTTACTCTGTGGCTTAAAAGGGGGAGCTCCAAACATATACCAGGAGCAAAGGTTTCTGGTTTTCCTCCGCTTAGTCCCAACCGTAGAAGAGGAGAATCCTTGCTGTTTTGTTCTGTGCTGTGAGGACCTCACGTACCCTTTCTAGATGGGTGTCTGGTGAAATGAACACAAGCCCGGGATAAATCCCCTTCCGCCCACTGCCAAGCCAGGCTTTTCCTCCTTCTGCCAAGATCGGGTGATAATCCTGTCCTAGTCCCTTGTTTTCCAGCTTACATTGACTCCCAGCTTTCCAGGGAGTGGGGGGAGATCCCATAAACAAAACGAGCCGCCCAAGTGCCTCGTGGTACTGTGTTTTTTCCATATTCGGTCCTGTCAGCCCGAGTGGATGTGAAACTGTGTTGCCATTAGTCAAGTCCATTTCACCTGCCTCCACTAGTCAAGGTCTTCTAACTGTTGCTACAGAAGACTTGCATGCCCTCCACGTGGCATGTAGCCTGAGTTGTTTTCCCAGAACTTGGAGCCAGCTGTGTCTCGGTCAAGCTGAGCCGGTTAAAACTGGATAGGATCACTGACTCTCCAACAGGCATGCCTGAGTCTGAAGTCAGAGGAGGACTGAAAACTCCACCCTCAGGTCGTGCTAAGAGCGCCCTTTTTTTTTTTCCTGAGACATGGAATCTCATCAGTGAATCCCCCCAAACCATGTTTTTCTACAGCAGGTTTGTCAACCTTAGCCCTGCCAGCATGGGGACCCCTCCCACCTGCCCCCTGCCACATGCCCTGGGAGGGACACGCTGGTTGAGGGCCAGTCACCTACAGCTTTTGTTCGACCCTCAACAGCAAACTGAGCCCTCCACATGACAGGGGGCCACAGCCCCCTCTGCCCTCCAGGGCCCTGGTCTGGATGATCATTTATAAGGTTATGGTTGGCCCATCGATGGGTTCCACACAGGGGCCTGACCTCTGCCTCACCCACAGGGCAAATGCCAGGAGCGACCCTTTGGCGCTCCTTCCAGAATGACCAAACCGTCTCCTGCTTCTTGTCAAGGGTCCTCACAGCACAAGTGCTCATGGACCAGGTGGCTCCAGACCCCGCACAGGGAGGAACGGGTCTGGACAGGACACAGGCCACTGACACAGGCTCAGCGGCTCTCAGGCAGGGAAGCAGGTCACACCTGCCCAAAGTTTTCTTCTACAAAGTCCCCCTGAGACAGACCCACTGAATGACCAAGGGAGACCCTCTCTGAGTCAATCCCACTGTGCCCGAAGCTTGCCATGTGTCATACATCTCATTTAATCCTCACAACGAGCCTTACTCTATGGAAGAAGAAAATCGTACTGTCCGGCTACAGAGCATTCTTAGTGCCCACTGTTCTGAGCGCTGAGCATAGAAATGGCCGCTTCCTCTGTGCCCCGACGTCACGGGTGCAGCGGGGCAGTGCATCCGTGGTCCCGACAGGTCCGCCATCCGTGGGGCAGCTAAGGGCGCCCATTTTTGAACGTGCAGAGGGTGTAGCTCAGTCACACCTGGGCAGAACAGTGATGATGACCACACCTTTCCCCATCACCTTTCCCCACGCTCCCATGCTCAGTCCCTCCAGCCACTACTTTATCCCATAAATACCCCAGCCCCTGGCCTTCGGGGAGGCAGATCTGAGATCTTGTTCTTCTGTAGCCCCTCTTTGCTGCTCACCTCAGCATCTCAGCCTTTTGGCTTGAAAAAACCTTTCTAGAAACTGGGGGAAAACAAACTTGATTCAGTAACAGATGCTTGGATATTTGTTAAATGAACTCATGGACAAAAGGGACACAGATAAGATGGGAAATGAATTGTTTCCCGATTGTTTAGTTGGAGCTGGTGGTCACTCAGAAATGCGCAAGGGAAATGACAAATTCTGCTGTCTGGTTTTCCTACTGAAGTCTATTTTTTCAAATTTATTTTAAATTTAAAATTAGTTTCAAAAGTTTATTGCAGAGCAGTGCTCCATACACGCTGTTCACACTGACTTGCCTCATATACATTTTCTTTCCAATTGTTCCATAATCCTTAGACCTTGTTAGTGATTCTCTTATTTTCCCTAATTTCTAGCTAGACCTGAGCTTAAGTTGGGTGTCCTTACAGAGAAACGGACAAAAACGGTGAAACTAGATTTAGGAAGACGTGTGTTTGGCCGAACGGCATGAGACTCTCTTATTTTCTTTTTTTCTCATTAAAGCTCGAACTAGATTTTTTTTTTTTTAAAAGGACTATGTCTCCTTGCCACCCGCAGCTGGTGCAGAAAAACAATGCTCTGTTAAGTTCCCCCCGTTCACGCCGACTGGAAATTCAAACCGAAAATATCTGAAAACTTTTCCTGGATCTTGAGACATTAGGTTTCATTCATAAATGCTGAAGGTTTTCCGCTGTCCTGCTCAAGAAGTTACCCTCATCTTCATTCTTTAAATAAAGAGTTGGAAAGATCCAGTCTAATGTTTTAAGGAGGGTGGTTGGAATGGAGAAGTCTTGGAAGGAATCCTGTGTCATAACATGAGTGTCCACCCTTATTCTTACTCTCTGATGTCTTCCTTACGCCCTTCACTAACTGCCTATAATATACATTGTTCCAGATTTGAGAATAAGCCTCTCATGACATAAAATTGTGAGGTGGTGGGTTTTTCAGGAGAAGGATGCACATCTCAACACACTGTACTTCAGAGCATTACTTTCGGCTTGGGTAAAGAGCTAACTGAATGAAAGAAAGTGATTTAACACGCCAATCATACATCAATCACTTTTATTAGCTGCAACCCCAAGTTTTCCTAAAACAGTAATATTTCATTTTTACTGTTTTTACATCCATCAAAGCCACTCCACCACCATACTGCAAAATTGCCCGTTTGCAATTAAGTACCCTGATCCATGCACTTTGATTTTGTTAGTAAGTGGACAAAGATTACATTATCTCGTTGAGAAAACATCTTCCTTGGACACCTTGTTCCATCTTGGTTTTCTTTAAGAGCTCACGCAAAGGCTTTTTCAAAGGTTGACTCGTTGTCCCTTCACAAGGCGTGCTCGCAGCATCCAGAAATCCTGGAAATAATGCCAAACACGATGAATATACCTATTCACTACAGGCCAAAGTAGACTTTTCTAGCATCTACAAATAGTTAAATAGGAGAAAGGAAGGAAGGAAGAAAAGGAGAAATAGAAAGCAAGAGAGAGAGAGAAAGGACAGGAAGAGAGAGAGGGAGGGAGGGAAGGAAAGAAGGGAGAAGGAAGAAAGAAGAAGGAGAGAGAGAGAGAAGAGAAGAACAGAGAAGAAAGGAAGAAG